TTGTCGTATAAAATCATAAGTGGCAGAGGACAAAAAAAATTTGAGCTACACAGGCGAGAAGTGCGAGAAAATAAACCATTAGAATGGAACTTACGGTTCCATTGAGCTATTTATATGCAAATATATCTCTAACAGTAAAAAAAAAAATGGGACCTCATTGCCAATCTAGTATTACATTTGAATTCACGCGGGCAAGGCACCAAAGCGGAGAGCGATATTTATTTGTAATTATTTACAAAATGTGGCACAAGTCCAAAATGAGCGATGGAGGATGTTGAAACTTGACTAATGCATGGAATAATAATGCAACACAAAATGTACTTAGAACAAAATGTATTGAAACAAGAACGTGTACACAATATTTACATATAGTCTTTTGTATATTCCTGGTAAGACCGTTCCTGGAGAATGTGTTGACTGAGTCGCAGTCGGGCAGAGTCTCTGGTTGAATCTCTTCCCGGTACCAACCATATTTATATGGTCGGTACTCCACTATGCAAATTAGGTGGATCCTACCACAACAGAGGAAAAAGGCAGTCTTCATTTGTCTTAACTTTAAACTCAACTAGCCACAAGAAGTGACCCAAACATACAATAATATTCCTTACCACAAAACAACACATTCTTACTTACCTTTTTTACAACATTCACCATAATACCTCATTGTCTCTATAAAAATCCTAACTAGTCCCCATATTTACACATTATTGCCTTTAGGGGGAGGGGAATAAAGCAACAATAGCATAGCGAAGAGCGATATTTAATTGTAATTATTTACAAAATGAGGCACAAGTCCAAAATGGCGGATGGGGAAAAGGGCGGTCTTCATCTGTCTTTAAACTTAGCCAGCCACAAACATTGACGCAAACATACAACAATATTCTTTACACCAAAACAACGCATTCTTACTTACCATTCTTAATACATTCACCATAATACCACAGAATCTCCATAAAAGTCCTAACTTGTCCCTAGATGTAAATTCTTGTCCGTGGGGGATATAACAACAATTTTAAAATGTAAACCCCAATGTTTGTTTACAAATATTAACAAAATTATCTAGAACAAACTAAATAAAATAGTGTAATAAAACCCCCAAAATCCTTAATTGTGGCAGAAGCATCAGTTAACTGGACTAAATTAATGCAAGACTTTAATAATTTAGAATAAGTATTCGTCCAAATACTGCAACACACACTCATTAAAACACAACAACAAATACGAAACCCACACTCGAAAAACGAAAGACGCCCCGCATCCACCAGTGAACTGACATCTCTGACCACCTAACGAGCGATATTTGTTTTGCTTATGTACAGAAATGTGGCACAAGGCCAAGATTTAGAATTGGGAGAGGGGCGGTATTCTTCTGTTTTAACGTTAAACTTAGCTACAAACATTTACCTAAACATACAACAATGTTCCTTACACCAAAACAACGCATTCTTACTTCATCCACCATACTGTCTCAGAAACTCCATGAAGTCCTAACTAGTCCCCATATGTACAATTCATTGTCTGTTTAATAAAAGAAAAAGATAAAATCTAACCCCAATTAGTATTTACAATATGAAAGAAAGTATTTACAAGAAATGAAACAAAATAATCTTAGTATATTAGTAATACCCCACCCCATATCCCTGGATATGACAAAAACATCAGTTAACTAAAACGGAATCAATGCGGAAGTTTAATAATATAAAAATTCATTCATTCTAACCAATCACTCAATCACACACAGAGAGTGATATTTATTTGCAAAAAAAAAAAAATACAAAACGTGGCACAAGGACAAAATGGGGAAAAGGACGGTCTTGTTCTGTGTTAACATTAAACTTATCTAACCACAAACACTGACCCAAACATACAAACAAAATTCCTGAAACGTAAACAACGCTTTCTTACTTATCTTTCTTACTCCATCCACTATAATACCTCATGTCTCTACGAAAATCCTAACTCGTTCCCATATGTACAATTCAGTGTTTATGGGGGTGGCAATAAAGCAACAATAGCCTAGCAAAGAGTGATATTTAATTGTAATTACATCATTTACATTATACGTACTATTGCCCTCATCTTTGTCAACATATCTATTACGACGTTTCGGCCGTTGTACACTCCGTCCTTCTTCAGGTTGTTGGAATGTCGAACTGCACCCTTTATTTCGCTCACTGGGGTAGACTGTTCTAGTTCCACGTGCCATGTCTAATGGATGTCAGTCACCACTTATCTCCTGTTAATTCCCCTCTCCAAGTTCTTCACTGCCTTAACCGGGTATTGAACTCACACTCTTTGGGTCCTGTCACTGGATCTAACTAACGCCTTTGTCCATTGTGCCGTGTGTAATTATTTACAAAATGTGGCATGAGGCCAAAATGGGGAATGGGTAAGGGGGAGATATTCGCCTGTCTTCTTTAAACTTTGTTAGACATTTTCATGACGGTCGTCCTCGAGTATAGAATCTAGAGGTTGGCAGTGAATATTTCGGAGACAGGAAAGCGTAGTGGAGGTTCGCAGTGGATATCACAGCAGAGTGTAGTTCATCCTTCTCCTGGTCGCCTTTGGTCCTTCCGGTAGGAGGAAACAAGATGGCCGCCTTTATACACTATGAATACAGTGTTGGGCGGCTTCTGATTGGTCAACCTTCTATTGGTCGACTATAAAGGGAAATAAGTCATTCTGACTCGCTCACTAGTTATATGCTATATACCCAAAAAACCGTAACAAACTTAGCTGACCACAAAGACTGACCAAAACATACCATAATATTCCTAACAAAACAACGCATTCTTACTTACCTTTTTTACTACATCCACCGTAATACCTAATTGTCTCTATGGAAATATTAACTAGTCCCCATATTTATAATTCATTGTCTGGGTTGTGGGTGTTGATAAAACAATAATTTAAAAAATCTAACCCCAATGAATATTTACACACCTAGAGCTCGTTAGATCAACGGCCATGATTTTTTTTTTTTTTTTAGAAAAGTCCGATTAAAGTCACCTCACAGCATTGGGGAAAGTGATAGAACAAAAGATGCCAGGTGGATACCTATAAAATTGCAGACACTTCTTTGGATTTTATCGAGAATCTTGAGATATGTAGCCAGAGAACGAAACCAGATACGACAGCAATATTCAATACACGGACGAATTGTAGTGCAAGATGGATTCTGACGATATTGGTATGGGGAGGGGGGCATGTCGCAGTTATCCAACTTTCCTCACAGAAGACCGAGCAAGACTTTCAGTAGAATCGCTCTATTTTATTTCAGAGAAAACCATGAAGCCATGTTGCTCTCTTAGTGGTTAGCATCAGCCATACTGATGTACGGCAAAAATGATTCTCTATTATGATTATAGGATTGCAATTTAGTTTTGATGACGTTAAAATTTACAAGCCATTTCTTGCCCCAGTTAACCAATTATGCACTAAAGCCATCAATATTCCTTTCAGTTTCTTGACTATCGATACCATTAATTAATTATTACATTTAAACCAATCTTTAGAAAATTATTCAGATATTCTCTAACGTGTGCTATGTCTATGGTTGAAAATTACAGTGAGGTTAGAATAATGACGAAAAAAATTTAAGAAAAATAGGGCCATTGCTGGAAATGTTATGCTGAAATCAATCCTTCTTTAAGGCACCTCACAGATGTGTAACAAAAATGTTATTATTTATATTATTCAGACTGTTATCCTCATCTTCATTGTCATATGCACAACGTTTCGGCCTCTATATCTCTGAGATGAGGTATTATGATTATTTGAATTATTTACATTATTCGGACTATTATCCTCATCTTCATTACCACATTCACAACGTTTCGGCCGTTGTACGCTCCGGCATTGTTCACATGAATAAGGCCGGGGTGTGAATATGTCAATGAAGATGAGGACAATCTTAATACCTCATCTCAGAGATATAGACAGAGAAATGTTGTTCTACAGAAAGATGCTGAGGATACCATGGACCGAGCAAGGACGAAGTTTTAGAGAAAATAGAAACAAAAGAACACTTATAATTAGCAACTGAAAGAGACGGTTGAAATTTCTAAAGAACATTATCTCGGAAAGAACTTGACACTCGTTGGACAGATTAAATACAAGAAGCATAGAGAAAAACAACACAGAACCTAACGAACATTAAGCTACTAGGACAGGAAAATGTGGAGAGCCATGGTCACCTATGTCCTGAAGGGTCAGGGCACATAGAGAGAAGAAGAAATGTCAGCTTCAGTAAATAAATGTCGGAACATGATTTAGGAGAAATAACCTAACGTAAGACAAAATTTATTAACAGCTACAAAGGACAGGAAATTGTGGAGATCCATGTTCGCCCACGTCCTGAAGGGACACGGCACATAGAAAAAGAAAAGCTAGCTTGAGTACATGAACGGCGGAAGAAGGTTTAGATGTGAAAACAAAAAGACAAAAGTTGTTAAGAGCTACAAAGGATAGAAAAGTGTGGAGAGCCATGATCGCCAACGTGCTGAAGAAAATTACAACCTAGTTTTCTTTGTCATTGGAACAGGTGTTGAGGTCGTATTTGAATTGTCGTTTGCTTACAAATTCCGAGACCGAACGATCTTTGTCTCATTCACACACACACACACACACACACACACACACAGATATACTTATAGATACATGCATCAATTTATATCTATATTTCTGCGATGAGGTATTGCAATTATTTACACTATTTACGTTGTTCGGACTGTTGTCCTCATCTTCGTGGCCATATTCACGACGTTTCGACCGTCGTACGATCCGGTCTTCTTCGGGTGATTGAAATTTCAAACTGAACTCTTAATATCCTCCACTACGGTAGATTTTTCTAGTTCCACGTGCCATGCCTCTTCCGGAGGTCTCAGTATCAGATGTCTCCCTTTAACTCAACTCTCTAAGTTCTTTGTTCACCTCTGCTGTAGCCAGGTATTGAACTCGCAAATCTTTTAGTCAAGTCACTGGATTCAACCAACACTTTT